GCCAACAGACCAGAAGTAATCATCAAAAACAAAGAAGAGAAGACCTGCCTCATGATTGACATGACCATCCCATCTGAAAAAAAATGTCACCACCAAGGAGCTTGAAAAGCTATCAAAGTACAAGGACCTGGAAATAGAAGTCACAAGAATGTGGGGGATGAAGACAACAACAATACCCGTTGTAGTGGGTGCACTTGGCCTCATCAAGAAGGGACTGGAAAAGAGAACAAAAAAGATTCCTGGAAACCCAACTGTCCAAGAAATCCAGAAGATTGTTCTTCTCGGAAGTGCCCACATCATCAGAAGGACGCTTTCCATAAACTAACCTGAAACTGCCTTAGAAGCATGGATTGATTCTGGCACTTCAGTGAAAGCATACAAATATACAATAATAATAATAATAATAATAATAATAATAATAATAATAATAATAATAGTGGCCTTTGACACCATTTCTCTTCCTATCCTCCTTAATAGACTCTCTTCCTTAGGCATCACTCACACCCCCCTTCGCTGGTTTCAATCTTACCTTACTGGCTGCACTCAGTTCATCCAGTTAAAGTCCTTTTCCTCAAAACCCTCCCCAGTCAAGTCAGGCGTGCCCCAGGGCTCTGTCCTGGGACCCCTCCTCTTCATGGTCTATCTCCTCCCTATCGGCAATATCTTCCGCAAATTCAATATCCAGTTTCACTACTTCGCGGATGACACCCAGCTTTACATTTCCAGTAAACCCAACTCAACTCTCCCACCATCCTCCCTTACCCTCTGCCTCTCAGAAATCAAATCCTGGTTCACCTCTAATTTCCTCAAACTCAATGGCAATAAAACTGAACTTCTTGTTGGTACCAAATCCACCATCTCCAAATCTGACAGTTTTTCCTTAACTACTGACAGTGCCACAGTCTCCCCCTCCCCTCAGGTCAAGAGTCTGGGTGTCATCCTTGACAGCTCACTTTCTTTCCGAGCTCACATTAATAACATAATTCGGTCAGCATACTTCCATCTACGATCCATGAACCGTCTCCGCCCCTCCCTTACCCCTCACACTGACGCCATTCTTGTCCACAGCCTTGTCACCTCCCGTCTCGATTATTGCAATTCACTTCTTTATGGTCTCCCCGACAAACTCCTTCATAAACTGCAACTGGTCCAGAATTCAGCAGCCCGTATTATCACCAGAACCCCTTCTTTTCACCACATCACCCCAGTTCTCCAGCAGCTTCACTGGCTCCCAGTTAAATTCAGGTCCATCTTCAAAATTCTCCTCCATACCTTCAAAGCCATCCATAACCTCTCTCCTCCATATATCTTAGACTTTAAAAGTATTAACACCCCTTCCCGTTCTCTCAGATCGTCTTCCTCCATCCATCTTGCTGTTCCCTCTGCCCGTCTCACTACCATGGGGAGCAGAGCTTTCAGCCGCTCTGCTCCCCGTCTCTGGAACTCTCTCCCCCCAGACATCAGGAACATCGACAGTTTCACCCTTTTCAAAACCAGACTCAGAACACACATGTTTAAATCTGCCTATGACCTCTGATTTTATTGAACTGTTTCTCTTTGTTTTATCTTCTTTGCGTTTTATTGTTGCTTTATTGCTGTTTTAATGTATTTTTTGATAGTATTTTCTGTCAAGTGACCTTGGCTGTTCTGAATTATTAATAGTAACACATAGGTTTTATAAAGCACTTTTCACAACAGCACAAAAACGCTTATTGATATTTTCTGTCATGTCTTTTAGGAAGAGCCTTAACTGTCACTGAAACATCACCAACTCTTGTGCCAAAAACCTTTCCATGACAGTGTCCTAAATATTTTATTCTGCTAGTGGATTCAGTCTTTGAAGCCTCAATCTTTACTTTGACATCTGTCTTGTTCTGTTGGATATTTTTTAGGCCTCTATATTTAAAAAATGAACTTTAAAATCAATGTCTGTTGCAGAAGATTAAAATCATTTGACATTCATGCTCTATGTTGTTTTTAGGAATATCTTAATAACTATTCTCAACCTAAAGACAGTTTATGATTCATATTAAATCATTTAAGAGTTCAGAATGTCATGTTACAGCTTAAAGGTCATTCTGTCTCAGGACAAAAGCAACAATTCCAGTAAAAAGAAATCTAAACATATTCTTGGGAAACTTGTTTAGAGTTTTTAAAATCATTTTGACACAAATTGTGCAAAAAAAATAATTGCAGTTGTTTTGTAAATATGTCCCTTTAGCACCATAAAATCCTTATTGTATGCACCTTCCCACTGATGCAAACAAAATATGTATTAATTCACAGCTTAAAATAGCCCTTTAATAAATGCACTGGTTACTCCCGTCACAGAAACCATGCTGCTCAGCTGATTAATGGAATTACTTAACCTATATAAAGGCCACCTATTACACTCACTTCCAGTTTTGTATATTTTAAGAGACTCCACTAGGGTACTTTTGCATTAATAAAATAAATACGGGCTCATCTCATTCTGCTTGCTATGAAGCTTCTCACTGGAACTAAAAGCATTAGACCCAGATTCTTTTAGGCCCCTACACACTCCGTAAAAGACAAATCTTATGACTGGTCTGATTAAAGACCGCTGTCCAAAACAAGTATTTACTCGTTTATAGCATGTTGGCTCCACAAAAAGTTTGTAAACCTACTGAAAACATTTTCAGAACCAAATGGAAAACTAAAACTGGTTTAGTTTTATAGATTACTTTTTAAAGCAGGATGTCTCTTTTTAGCTAATAATAATATACACATTATCGGGTTATATTGGAATTAGACTGTCCATATTTATTTTAGATAATTAGACATCTACTTGTGTGAAAAGGAGGGCAAATGCCAGCTAAATGTAGCTCGGCTGCTGCAAAACAACATTGTTTCATTATTTCAACCATTCTTACAACAGTTTTATGAGAATTTGTGCCGAAATTGACCAAAAAGACTAATTTGTGACTTCTGCTTCAAACATGTAAACCTCATAACTGAACACCAAATACTCATACTAAGCTAACACCATTTTTTAAGTACTGTCTGCATGCAATTTGGGTTTTGAACTTCACATGGGATTGCCTCAGGCATCACCTTGAATGAAATGTGCATTAACTTTGTTTATATAACATATTTGTGCTTTAAAAAATGCAAAACTTAAAAGTGCATCATGCACAAATGAAGTAAAAACGAATTTGGTTACTTCAACCACTTTAAACAACTCTGGAGCTTTCTGCCAGCCATTGTCAAATCACAATTGTCGGTGCTGCAGTATTAGCTTACAGGAGACATGGCAACCCCTCATTCACTGATGGTAAACAGTAGTTACGCCCCTCCTTCCTTGGTTTTGAAAGGAGACAAACTGAAAATCCCTGCAGCAGCTGGATATGAAAAAGTTTCAGTATAACCTTTCTTCCAAAATGACTGAAACTTTAAACTCTTTCGGGATTTTCTCGCTGTAAAATTCTCACTATGTTCTTACATACTGCACCTTTAATTTCTGTGTTTCCACACACATGCACGCACGAATCACCAGTGAGGGATGAGGATGAATGTTTATTTATTAAAATTACTATTATTTGTGTGTGTGTGCATGCATTTGTGTTTACTTTTACCCTATTGATGTTATGTTTACATGGAATTTGTTATGTTATCTTGGTCTAAATAATATTGATACAATAATGAGAAAAGGCCATTTATGGTTGCCATGGTAAATGTAGACCTTTGTCCCTTTTTTCCACTGCTCTTCATTTTTACATTCACTTTTTTTATGCCATTTCAAATTACTTGCTTTAAGTCTACCATTTACTCCAATTTCTTCTTTTCTCTTTCTCCTTATTCTGATTCTCAAGTCATCCCACTTTCCCTCGTTCTTCCTCATCTTCCCTTCACACTTCAGTATCCTCCAGCTCCAGACTGGTCCGGAATGCTGCACAGAATAGGTAACCTTCAATGTATCATGGCAAACTGACAGGACAGTGCCTTGCTCACGACCAAGAGAGAATGCTCAACAACCAGGGACACCATCAGGATGTGATGTCTTATAAATAATAGAATATATCATGTGTAGTGCACATAATTAGTCACTAGTGGTCCAAGTTCACTCAAGATGCCAGCACTGAACATGATTTCCTGTTTGTGTTGCATTCAGATTTGTTGTTTCTCCTGTTCTTTCTGTTCAGTTTTGACTTGTCTGAATGCACAAACAAAAGATTATTATTTTCTGACATAATTTATCTCATTATAAAAGTCATAGTCTAACACCACTCATTTTAAATAATAACCTAAATGTTGCAGTTAAAAGAAAGAATTAACCAAATTTGACAACAAGGCAGAAATATGGATTTTCACACAAAGAACAGTTCACAAAACCAAAGCTTTAATATGAACTATAGGCAATGGTCAGATCTATTTTAAAATGAACATTTGATTAACAAGTGTGTCACTCAAGCCAAGCAAAGCATAATTTTAAGCCATAGCAATAAGAAGATGAAGCATTTTAATTAAAACAGTTGCACCAAATACATGTGATTAACTTAAAGGTTAAAGGTCTTGATAATTATTTTTAATATTAAAGCAGCTGCCCTGTAATATGGAGGAACTATATACCCGTTTAACGCAAACTGGACAAAAAAGAGCTCTGAAAACATGCAGTAAATCTGAAATTTGGTGCCACTGAAAACCCTCAACCTAGCACCCTTCCCCACTGTCATGACTCCACAAGAAAACCCAAAGCAGAGCTCCTGAAAGGCCGTGTGAGAGGTGTAGCAGATAGTGGTTAGAAATGGTTCCGTTTGGGTAAACGATGCACTGGTGGCGCCAATCTTTAATCAAATCAGAACAACATGTCCTCTCCCAAAACAACAAGCTGCTGCCTGCGCTCCCACCGCTCAGCATCCTCAGTCCTGAGTCTGCGCTAGAGACAGCCAGCACCCACACAGCCCACTACTGAACCCGGTGAACCGGAGCGGTGCTGCCTGTCAGCATGAGGTCTGGGTGCTCACACCGACACCGCTCACCTGTCAGGCTATCGTAGCACTCGATCTCCGTGCTCTCCACGGCTCTCCGCTGCTCCTCGGTCAGTTTCGCCGCGGCTTGGTTGAGCAGGTTCACCTCGGAGCCCGTCGTCCCGTCGACAACGTGAACCCCTTTCAGCTGGAGCAGCGCCCGGTGGTACTTGCCTATCGCCTCCCGAAATTTCTTCTCCTTATAGCAGCGGTTACCCTCCACTTTGAAGTCGATGGCTTTCTGGATCTTTAGCTCCATCTCCATTTCCGCTGAGCCGACTCGATACCCGCCACCGCCGCCTCCTCCTCCGTCTTCTCCGGCGGCTGCAGCCAGGCTCCGGCCGCCGGTCTCCGGGTAGCTTTTGAGGCTTTTTATATGATGTTGTTTGGCTTCCATGTCTCTCAGTGAACGCAGCTGAAGCGGGGCATAATGCTCGGAGACGTAGGTGTGTTTTGTCGGGGAGGACCGGAGAAGCGTGCTGTGCATAAAGGCACGCTTGGGACGCATAGACTGCTGGGCAGGCAGGCGGTGGCACCGGAGAGACGACAAGCGTCGAAGAACAGACGATAAAACGATTCGGACTCGTCCTCCGCTTCTTGAGCTTTCAATTTTAAATACTTCCTGTTTTAAAAAAGAAACAAATATACTTTAAGAAGTGAAAATATCCTGAATTTCCAAAAGTCCAGTATTCCAATTTCTGACCATGGAAAACTCAATTCCTGGTTTTCTGCTCCGCTAGCAGAACGATGCTCGCGTGGACGCTAGCAACCTTTAAAGGCACGCGCAGCTTCAGCACCACAGACAGCGCTCACACACGAACCCCTCGCGCGCACAGCATTGTGGGAGTTTAAAAAACGAAGTCGTGAGGCGTTACTGCAGACAAGACTTCACAGGCAACCCCTGCAAAAAAAACACGTGGAAATGATCTTTTCAAGCTCAACAGTTCTTCTAATCATGATCGTATTGATTTAAAACATACATATTCATATCTGACCTTTATTGATTAGCATAGTGACCCTTTTTAATAACGTGAAAAGTCTGGTGTAACACAATTTACTGTTATTGTTCGAAACTGATTAAAAATTACAAATAAAAAATGGAGCTTCCACTTTAATACCTGCAGTCTGAACATCAACGTGAAGCGCCTGATGAGTTCAGCAGATATCTTCACAAGATAAAGAATTTATAGCATGCCGTTGTGACATACATTCAAACCGTCTGGGATCCTCAATCCAATAATCTTATAATTAAGTTTTCATTTTTCCAAACGGTCTAGTTGTTAGAATTAAAACTACAACCTCCTCTGGGATTTAAATGTATAAAAATTCAATCTAAGCATTACAGATTAGTTGACTCTCATGAGCGTGAACAAAACAAGAAAGAAAGAAAGAAAGAAAGAAAGAAAGAAAGAAAGAAAGAAAGAAAGAAAGAACATCTTTAAACTTAATGTCAGTATCAACTATCTGTAAAAAGGACAAAGTTAAACCTAATAGAATATAACGCAAAGAGGCAATGTTCACACACGTGGTAACAGGGTCTTAGAGGTTAAAATGATCTCTCCACTAACATTTATTGAAATTGTGTTCATAAAAATAAGTCAAGGTCCTTGGAATTATAAACCTTTTTAAAATATCCATAGTTATCTAAGTAATAAATTACTATTTTAGATGGAGATGTCTAATCCACAATCAGAATTACACATAGGCTATTTAACAACAGTTATCCAAATACTAATTACCTAACACCCCCTTTTTCTCGTCATGTTTCTGTGTTTCGACTTTCGACTTAAGATCTTTTAATTTTTTTTAGAAATCTAACAATATTCATAGATTAAATTGTAGACAGTTGACCCATTTGAAAAGGTGACAAAAAGGCTAGATGAAATGTTCTTTCTACAGATGACCAGAAGGAGGGCTACATTAAGAGAGTACGGCGCCCTCAAGTGGACTTGATGTTACACACATTGTGCTTGACAACAGTACGGAACCCCAGAAGCACATTCCATGCTGAGACCACAATAAAAATGAGAGATTTAAGGGTGGCAGCCAGGTAATTTCAGCACATTTCTGGGTTCTTTCGTCTCACGGGTGTGGTTAATTTAAGGAGGGAGGAAGGCACAAGGCCCCTCCTTTCAAATCATGAGACAGAAAAACAAAAGTAAAAAATTCAACAGATGTAAATATTGTTTTCAATTTGCACACTTAGCGTGTCCTTTCCATTTGCTGTTTCCCTGTAGAGATTTTTTTTTCAATTTTACATCTTCACAAATATATTGAATTATCTCTTCTTGAATGGTTTTACATAATTTACATTTGTATCATGTTTTAGTATCTTCATTGTTTCGTCATTGTGTTGACTATGTATTTGGATGGCTGATTTTATGAAACAAAAGCTAAAAACAGAATTACATTAAATTACACGGAACAAAAATATAAACACACCTTTGTTTCTGCTCCGATTTTTCATGAGATGGACTTAAAGATCTAAAATTCATTCCAGATACACAATATTACCATTTCTCTCAAACATTGTTCACAAATCAGTCTAAATGTGTGATAGTGAGCACCTGTGCTTTGCTGAGAATCCATCCCACCTCACAGGTGTGCCACATCAAGATGCTGATCTGACATGAGTAGTGCACAGGGGTACCTTATACTGCCCACAATAAAAGGCCACCCTGGAATGTGCAGTTTTGTCTCACAGCAAAATGCCACAAGCATTGAGGGAGCGTGCAATTGGCATGCTGACAGCAGGATTGTCAACCAGATCTGTTGCTCATGCATTGAATGCTCATTTCTCCACCATAAGCCGTCTCCAAAGGCATTTCAGAGAATATGGCAGTACATCCAACCGGCCTCACAACCGCAGACGACGTGTAACCACACCAGCCCAGGAACTCCACATCCAGCAGGTTCACCTCCAAGATCGTCTGTGACCAGCCACTCAGACAGCTGCTGAAACAATTGGTTTGCATAACCAAACAATTTCTGCAGAAACCGTCTCAGGGAAGCTCAATTGCATTCTCGTCGTCCTCATCGGGGTCTTGACCCGACTCCAGCTCGTCGCCATAATAGACTTGAGTGGGCAAATGCTCACATTCGATGGTGTCTGGCACGTTGGAGAGGTGTTCTCTTCACAGATGAATCTCTGTTTACATTGTTCAGGGCAGATAGCAGACAGCGTGTTTGGCGTCGTGTGGGTGAGCGCTTTGCTGATGTCAATGTTGTGGTTCGAGTGGCCCATGGTGGTGGTGGGGTTATGGTATGGGCAGGCATCTGTTATGGACGAAGAACACAGGTGCATTTTATTGATGGCATTTTGAATGCACAGAGATACCGTGATGAGATCCTGAGGCCCATTGTTGTGCCGTACATCCTTGAGCATCACCTCATGTTTCAGCAAGATAATGCACATCCCCATGTTGCAAGGATCTGTACACAATTCGTGGAAGCTGAAAATGTCCCAGTTCTTGCATGGCCAGCATACTCACCCGACATGTCACCCATTGAGCATGCTTGGGATGTGCTTGACTTGCGTATACGACGGCGTGTACCAGTTCCCACTAATATCCAACAACTTCGCACAGCCATTGAAGAGGAGTGGGCCAACATTCCACAGGCCACAATTGACAATTTGATAAACTCAATGCGAAGATGTGTTGCACTGCATGAGGCAAATGGTGGTCAAACCAGATACTGACCGGTTCTGAGTCCCCAGACCCCCAATAAAGCAAAAAACTGCACATTCTAGGGTGGCCTTTTATTATCGGCAGTATAAGGTACACCTGTGCACTACTCATGATGTCAGATCAGCATCTTGATGTGGCACACCTGTGAGGTGGGATGGATTCTCAGCAAAGCATAGGTGCTCACTATCACACATTTAGACTGATTTGTGAACAATGTTTGAGAGAAATGGTAATATTGTGTATCTGGAATGAATTTTAGATCTTTAAGTCCATCTCATGAAAAATCGGAGCAGAAACAAAGGTGTGTTTATATTTTTGAGTGTAGAATTGACTTGTTTAATGGTAAACTTGCAGTAAACACTATTATAGCATTTGTTGTTTAGCATTACCATCTTAAAAACTTGTATATCTTTTACCATTATTGTCATTTTCCTCAGGAGGTGTAAAAGATTGATGTATTAACGAAGATGCTGCTTAATGGAGAAAGACGGAAACAGCTTTGCTGTCAGATACGAAAGCTGCAGGTGTCACAGACATGGATTCTATGACCTTTCCAAATGTCCTTTAAAAAGCATCCCAGTTGATGGTGTTTTCCTTTTTATTGAATATATTCACAACGTATCAAGCTTGGAGTGAATGTGGGGCTTTTATGCAGTCATCTCCAGCCCCTAAGCAGGCATAAACAGCAGAGCCAGTTCAGTCCCCATCTTTTAGCTAAATCTATATTAAATAATATTTAACAGACAGAAACTGATCTGTGCTGTTGTGGGAATGAGGTTTGAGGAGGTAGTGTAGTGTACCATCACCATCTTAGTGTGATGAGTGAGTGAATAATGGATTCTTTGTAAAGGGTCTTTGAGAAGCTTCATTAATCTAACTCATTATGATTAAATGCTGTAACTTCTAAACAAAGCACAGAGACAGAGGGTTGGGTTTTTATTCTAGAGGTTCATCTGCATTTCTTTTGCTCACAAGACACCACTTCCTATTTTACGGACATCACCCAGGAGGGACGTTTAGGTCGAAAATAACGATCTACAACCATTTCATTTCTTGGACTCTGCCCAACTCCTATGTTTTGCTTTTGATTTGCACATTTTTTTTAAAGAAATATTTAAAATTCAAGCAAAGGTCACAAAACTGTCCATCAAGAAGAATCAACAACAGGAAGTGCACACAACAGCAGCACCTGTGGTGTTAATGGAAATATTTGTAAGCACCATCGTGACCATTTGGCTGACATCATGCTCTTTCCTTAAGCTCATAACAAACCTGTAAAACATGATAAATAAAAATGTCTTTAAAAGACGACAGCTTGAGCAACAAATGCAGATCATTTAAAGACACTAAACTAAAGTTATGGCAGCAAGGCTTAAACTGTTTAATAAAAAGATGGAGGGACCTATCGCATCTACCCCGGCATAAAACAATAACAAAGCTAATCTCTAGTTACTAGTTTTACCTGCAGTCCTGCATGAAACCAAAAGCAGTGATGACACCAACAGGAAAAAGGATGAACACAAGGAGTGAATCATTTCCAGAGTGTGTGTGTGTTAAGGTTTCTTGCTGCCAAGTCTCTTAAAAACACTGACAGCCTTGACGTCCATCTTGGCGCCTCCTGGCTCCCCAACTCCTGCTGCTGCCCCCCCAGCCCCAGTGCTGCTGCTGACTTTGCAGCTCGCTATCGAGGATTTGCCTGGTGCTCTGGACCTGGTGCTCGTCACTCTGTTGTCCTGAGTGTCTGCAGGTGTTGCAGACACAGATTCGTTAGTAGAAAGGGGCTTGCCCAGTCTCTGGAGAACACTGATTTTGGCAGCGGGGTGGCTCTTCAGGGAGGAGGCAGAGGAAGAGGTGGGGATGTCAGAGGGAGGTTGTTTGAATTTTCCTCCTAGTCGTCGCAGGGCGGTGGGCGCTGCTCTTTTAGATGCTTTTTTCTTGGATGGAATGGTCTTCAGGACTCCAGCGTACTGAAGTACAGAGCCTTCTTCATTGCTGTCCTCATCATCTTCATCCATGTATGCTGCTGTACTTCCGGACTTCAGCACGCCGTTTTCATCCCCTCCATCAAGGCGACTGAACACACCAGTGGGCTGCCAAAACACCAGAACATACATTGTATTTTATACTGGTATTCATTACAGACAATAAGACTGAAGACACATTAACCAGCCTCACTTTGTTATTATTGGTCGTCGTGTCTGCCATCGATTCGGCTCCGAGTCGTTCAAACACTGAGGTACGCTTCAAACCTTTAAAAACCAAAAAAGCAAATAGTTTACATAAATGAGACATCTGAGTGTGATTAGTTTGGTTTTGGTTTGGAGAAAGATCTAATATATTCAATAAAGTTCAGAATTGCTCTGATCAGATAAGTCAGAGTGAAGAGAATGTACTTATTTTAAATGCTATGGGTTCAATATTTACTAAATGAGAATGCAATGTTTGTTTTATATGTTTATGTATTTAACAGACACTTTTGTCCAAAGCGACTTACAAGTGAAAATCGGCATGTTGCCCTTGAGGCTAACAACAACAATAACAACAACAACAACAACAACAACAACAACAACAACCAATTTCCAGTTAGTCGCAGGTGGCAGTGAGGCAGCATGATGAATCATGGAGAGGAAGGAACAAGGAGTGGACAGTAGAGAGGGGGACGGGTGCAGGGAGGGTGCTAGTTTAGAAGATGCTCTCTGAAGAGCAGGGTCTTCAGGAGTTTCTTGAAAATCGAAAAGGAAGCCCCTATTCTTGTGCTTGGTAGGTCATTCCACATTTGTGGAACGATGCATGAGAAGAGTCTGGATTGTCCTGAGCGTGGTGTAGGCACTGCTAGCCAACGATCCTGTGATGACCGGAGCGGCCGGCCCGAGACGTAAGCCTTTGCAAGAGGATTCAGGTAGATGGGAACCGTACCATCTACGACTTTGTATGCTTTTAAAACATGCTTTATAAGCATGTTTAAAAATTTTATAAAAACTAATTTTATTTTTGACTCAATATTAAAAGTTTTACTGCAAGACAGATATGTATCTGTCCAGCCATCCTTACTGCAAGACAGATATGTATCTGTCCAGCCATCCATGCATCCATCCATCTGAGGGGCATAGGCAAGTCAGATTTAATTAAAAGATTCAAACTTGATCAACACAAAGGTCAAATTAAATTTTAGACAATATACTCATGTAATCTAGAAAATAGAAGCAACCAATTATTAATGAATTCATTGAATTTATCTCAATTTTATTCCCAGACTGGATTTAAAAAAAGGATTTGTGGCCTGCTGCCATCCCACTAATTATCAATACAAGTTCTCATCTTTAGGTCTGTGTTTAAACGATAATGAATCTTTACATAAAGTTAGATAAGCTCGAAAAGCCCTGACAACATTTGATAAAGCAGCAGTTACAAGTAACTTTATTCATTTCTTTAAAAATAGAAGAACAAATGTGTACCTCTTAAAAAAATCTTTGTAATTCAGTTTTTATAAGCAGGTAAATAGAGATGGGAGAAAAACATGACTGGCAGTAGTAAATTAGTAAGTAAAGCTGATTAGCTGAAGCTTCGTCTACAGCCAAGAATTAGAAGCTTTCATTTAACCCCAGAGACGTTTCATTTACCGTCTGAATGCTGATTAATGTTGCTGATTAGTGTTGTTAGTCAGTCACACTGCCGGCGAGACCACTGGGCCAGGCCTACCTTTCTTGGCCTGCTGGGCCAGGATTCGGCGTGTACGAGGCGTGGTGCCTTTAGGCATGTTGACGATGTACTTGCCTTCCATCTCGGCTGTGACACGACGGCGCTTCGCTGCTGGCAAACTGCTGCCTTCATCGGCCGGTTGGCTCAAAACTGACAGACGAGTCAAAACAAAAGAATCAACAAAATAATCAAAACGAACAGCAAATAACATGTAAAAAAAGAAATTTCCACAACCAGCTACCTGCTTTATTCTTGTTAGCCTGAGAGTTGGACACGGTGACGGAGAGCCGGCTGTCAGATCTGCGGGTTGGAGTGGCTGGAGGAGAGTCGTGGCTCAAAGCGTTGGCGATCATACGAGCAGCAGCTGGAACAAAACAGAGACAATCATTGAGATTTAAACTCTTTTTTTTAAAACAAAACTCATCCTGTTATTTTCTGATGATACAAGACAGTTGGGATGCACCGTTCATCATGATTTAATTCTGAAAACATAAAAAATGATTCCTCCTTGAACCGTCACCTTATCGTGGTGGAGGAGTTTGAGTGCCCTAATGATCCTAGGAGTTATGTTGTCTGGGGCACTTTGTGCCCCTGGTAGGGTCTCCCATGACAAATGGGTCTTAGATGAAGGGTGAGACAAAGAATGGTTCAGAAGATCTTTCATGGACGTAAAAACAAAGAGTCGGAGTACCCAGCCCGGAGGGTTACCGGGGTCCCACCCCAGAGCCAGGCCTGGGGTTGGGGCCCGTGAGCGAGCGCCTGGTGGCCGGATGTTTGCCCATGGGGCCTGGCCGGGCCCAGCCCGAACCGGATACATGGGCTCATCCAACTGTGGACCCACCACCTGCAGGAGGAACATGAAGGGTCCAGTGGTCTGGTAGTAGACCGAGGCGGGAGCCTTGGCGGTCCGATCCCCGGACAAGAAAACTGGTTTTTGGGACATGGAACATCACCTCGCTGGCAGGGAAGGAGCAGGAGCTTGTCGCAGAGGTTGAGCGGTACCGGCTAGATATAGTCGGACTCACCTCGACACATAGCATTGGCTCTGGAACCCAAGTTCTTGAGAGGGGTTGGATACTCTCCTTTGCTGGAGTTGCTCCAGGTGAACTTTCCCTTCAGGTAACCCTGGATGGGAAAATGAAAATACCTAACAGGTACGATCGATAGTTGAATCTCAGATTGAGGAGGAGCAATGTGGTTTGCCTCCTAGCCGTGGAACTGTGGACCAGCTCTATACCCTTGCAAGGGTGATGGAGGGGGCATGGGAGTTTGCCCAACCAATCCACGTGTTTTGTGGATTTGGAGAAGGCATATGATCGTGTCCCCAGGCGCACGAGGTGGGTGGCCTTTTGTTAAGGGCCATTCTGTCCCTTTACCAGAGGAGCGTGAGTTTGGTCCGCATAGCCGGTGGTAAGTCGGACCTGTTCTCGGTGAGGGTTGGACTCCGCCAGGGCTGCCCTTTGTCACAGGTTCTGTTCATAACCTTTATGGACAGACTAAGGAGCTTTGAAAGAAAAGCGTCTGGACTTCTTTGAGTTGCTTGAAGACGTTTCACCTCTCATCCGAGAGGCTTCTTCAGTTTTAAGGTCAAATGGTGGAGAGTCCCAGATTCAAACCCAGTGGGAGTTTCCCCCCAAAGAGGGAACAAAAGACCCCCTGATGATCTTCTACATAAACACATGAGCCAAGGTGTGAGGGTGGGTGTGCGTCCTATTCAGCCAGAGTTTCGGGTGAGCTCATTGCGAAGCCTGGCCCCACCCTATCGTGAATTCCTGAGGTCAGATGGCCCAGGATATGCGTGAGCGTTGAGGCATCTGGGAAGGGATCTCAAAACTGGATTATAGATGGCAGACAGTTGGTGTCGTAAACCACCGCCTCTGTTCAAAGATGGTTGCTCACAGTGGACATAAATGGCTTCCTTTACTCCTCTTTCAAACCATCTGTCCTCTCTGTCCATAATGTGAACGTTGGCATCCTCGAAAGAGTGACCTTTGTCCTTTAGACGCAAATGAACTGCTGAGTCCTGTCCCATGGAGGTGGCTCTTCTATGTTGTGCCATGCACATCTGAAGTGGCTGTTTGGTTTCTCCGATGTAGAGGTCTGGGAATTCCTCGCTGCACTATACAGCATACACCACATTGTTCAGTTTGTGTTTAGGAGTTTTGTCTTTCGGGTGAACCAGTTTCTGTCTGAGTGTGTTGCTGGGTCCGAAGTACACTGGTATGTCCCTTTATGGACAGAATTTCTAGGCGCAGGTGTGGAGTGTGTCGAGTTTGGTGGCAGGAGAATCTCGTCTCTGCTTTTTGCGGATGATGTGGTCCTCCTACCTTCATCTAGCTCTGACCTTCAGCTCTTGCTGGGTAGGTTCGCGGCCGAGTGTGAAGCAGCTGGGATGAGGATCAGCACCTCCAAATCTGAGACCATGGTTCTCGACCGGAAAAAGGTGGCTTGCCAACTCTGGGTCGGGAGAGGGGTTCTACCTCAAGTGGAGGAGTTTAAGTATCTCGGGGTCTTGTTCACGAGTGAGGGTAGGAGGGATTGGGAGATCGACAGGCGGATTGATTCAGCATCTGCAGTGATGCGGACGCTGAACCGATCTGTCGTGGTGAAGAGGGAGCTGAGCCAGAAAGCTAGGCTCTCGATTTACCGGTCGATCTACGTCCCAATCCTCACCTATGGTCATGAGCTTTGGGTAATGACCGAAAGAACGAGATCGCGGATACAAGCGGCCGAAATGAGTTTCCTCCGTAGGGTGGCCGGGATCAGCCTTAGAGATAGGGTGAGGAGCTCGGACATTCGGGAGGGACTCGGAGTAGAACCGCTGCTCCTCCGGATCGAAAGGAGGCAGTTGAGGTGGTTTGGGCATCTGGTCAGGATGCCTCCTGGACACCTCCCCGGGGAGGTGTTTCAGGCATGTCCTGCCGGCAGGAGGCCCCGGGTCGACCCAGGACACATAGGAGAGGTTACATCTCCAATCTGGTTCGGGAACGCCTTGGGGTCCTACCGGAGGAGCTGGTGGAGGTGGCCAGGGAGAGGACGATCTGGAGCTCCCTAGTTGGGATGCTGCCCCCGCGACCCGGATAAACGGAGGAAGACGACGACGATGATTCTTTATATAAAACTATTATCACTAGTCTGAATTAACTCTTAGCAGTTGTAAGTTCAAGTCCCACTTTTTATTGCAGCTTGATGCATTTAAGGCCTTTTAATTGTAATATTGTAATAAAAATTTATTTGATATTATTAGTTTACACAAAAATGTAAATGTTAGCTCAACAGCTTTATAGCAGGGCTGATTACAGCTTAACATGTGTAGTAAAATAATGGACAAGAAAAGAAAGTCAGTTAAGAATGGGATGAAACTTCACTAGTAACACATCAGAGGGTTCTCTGCACATGGATGAGCTTCAATTGTTCTGCTTTAGACTAAGGGATGGCAACCACATCAAACATCAGTTACAAAGGAATGGAAGAAAATGTTGATATTAGAAATGGACTTCTGTTACTAACGTGTGTTGGCAGTTCTTCTGAGTTCAGCCTGAACACTTGTCTGTCCTGCGGAGATGGCCTCTGTTGCCATTTTGCACATATCCTTAAACCAGAAGAAAATTATGAAGAATTAAAGAAAAATAGCATTGTACAAAACAAAAGACAGCTTGTCTAATAAAGCATTTGTTGATTTGTTTAATTTAGAATATTTAATCAAATATAATCAAATTGAATAAAAAATAAATAAATAAAAATCAGCTTCAAAACGGAAGGTTTGACCTCACCTGCCTGTACACCTGCTTGGCATGTTTAAGAATGGCAATGACGTCACCAATTACTGTTATCCCCAGGTCTATCATGATGTCCTTGCTAAGGTCCATAAGCATGTTCTTCTGAATTCTGTGGTTAAATAAATCAGAAAGTGTTGCTGTAAATTAAAGGATGAGGGTAAAGGATGTGTAACATCAGTTTTATGAAGTACCACCTTCAAGTTACCTATTGTCCACAAAGGAAACTGCATAATTAACAGCAAGTCCAGCAGGGATACCGGCATCCTTAAAAAACTGAATCCACTCTGAAGTGGCTTCAAAAAAAAAAAAAAAAAAATTGAAATTGTAAACAAAAATTAAGACAACTTTTTTTAAATACAGGAAAAGATCCATAGAACTACAAATCATTTACTGCAAGTGTCACAGAAACCAACTTAATTTCACATGTAATTAAAGTAGCGTAACTTCTCATCAACTGTGCAAAAGCACTAGAAGTTCTTTATAAATGAAGCACAGAGGCTTAAAACCAGAGCACACGATCCACAAATTATTCCAATAGCAGAATAAGATGTACAGTTTGTGACAGTATTACAGTGGTGAAAGCCTGGCACCAAGCGCCAGTATGAGGCATAAATCTGAGGTGACAGCAGCATGCTGTGTTTTAATACATGCTGACCACGAGCAGCTGGAGGTTATTTATAACACCAGTGACGAGACATCTTGTGGCTGAAGTTACAGAGACAGAATGAAGCACAACAGCTGCCAGGACAATAACTGTACTCCTGATTAACTCAGCCGCACCGAGACGAAACTCTCACGGTGGCTAAATTCTCATCTGACACTCAGGCGCCTTACAAGTCAGTCGCAGTCACAATGGAGAATCACAGCACAGCGCGCCGTTTCAGTAGAATGAATGAATGTGTCATTCAAAGGTTGAATTATCTTTTAAAATCAACGTTAGTGTCTGTTTAGGGGAAAAACTCGAATAAATTCCCTACTCAATGTTAAACGAGCACAAACATATTTTAATCTCTAATCTCTATTAGCGAATATTAACTAGTACTAGCTTGAAATCGCAATAAAGAAACGTTAGCATCGTATTAGCATTGGAGAATGGAAGAGGTTACGAGCTGTTTAACGAACGTTCCAAAAACGATGTAAAAGCCAGTGTGGAAATTTAAAACCGATGCGGGAGTTGTATCACACAAATGATAGCCACAACATTTAAATGTATCTACGAGGTACTAAATTAATCTCGCCGAGGCCTCGGTGTTCTCACCTGTTGTCACAGACGCCATGTTTACGACGAAAGCAAGATGACGTCTGTCGGTCTTTTCCTGTGTCGCAACATCCGGTGTTGTGCCGAAAACAGGACGTCTTCGGTGGAATCATGACAGTTAGTGAAAATATATATTTCTTGTGGAAATGTTGGTTTGTATCGCTATTAAAAATGTGTATGTTTTTACACTATTTTGTATTTACAGTATTAGTAAAAATTAGCATATAATGTCTCGAAAAGAAAATACCTTTTTTTTGTGACTGAGCTGCTTGCGTCAGAGGTTAATTTTCCGATAAAACACCTTATGCAGCACAATGTTTTACCTATGACCGCTAGATGGCGACAAAGACTGAAACTCTTTCCAAAACAACCACGCTAGTTAAAAAAAATTATATATATATATATATATTTAAAAAAATTATATATATATATATATTATAATTATTACCTACAGAGGTGCCAAAAGAGATTAAAATATATTGACGTTAAACCAATTTAAATATAGTATAAGTAAGTGGGACACATTTACTTTACATGACATTTATTTAATTAATTCTTCACAGAATAAAAGAAGGTTTTGCAATTGTTCCAATCACCATTAAAGAAGATAGCGCCATCAAATTTGAGAAGGAAAGTTTCGGAGTGTAAACATGTCAGAATAGCCGAAAAGGCAGGGCCTTTAAAATGGACTGATAGATCAGAGTGTGATAGTGGCAAAAGACAGACATTCTTCACAAATAGATAAATGTGAAGAATGTAAAAACAGGACAGAAATACTCTATAGTTCTTAGCAAAATATCTAAAGTTAAACATTTTGAGAAAAGTAAACTATTTTTCAATGAGGGATCTTGAACATATGTGCATGTAAGTCAAATGAGATGTTATTTATGCTTTCTGAGGAGCCTTTTACCTGCTTAATCTCAGAATATTTCACATTTATTTAATTTTTATTTGTCCCAAAAGATATTGAATGACATTTTTTGCTCACGGAAAGAAACAAATACAAAGGAAATTCTAAGAACAATAAAAAGAAGATACTCTATAAGTTTACTACAATTTGAGAGACTTAATATTCTCTTCACAATCAATAAATGAATATATATATATATAAAATTCCAGGCTTTTTTCATAAAGATTGTCTCAAAATAAAACTTACTTTGAATATTTATTTACTTATTTACTTTTAATACTGTAACAAAAGTTGATATGTAAAGCAATACAACATCGCACTTGACACATAGTAGCAGTCAGTCTGATTACTGCAGAATATGCTACATTATGTTCATCCAAGAGGACTGTAAATATTGCATTTCATAACAGGGATAATATGAAATCAGAGCACAGATGGGAATTGTGGAAAAATAGAAACACATAGCAACATTCACCTCATCATAGAAAAATAGGAAAGCTCTGGTTCAGGTAATATTGTCATCATTACAGTACATTTAAATGCAGGGCAGTTTATCTGGCGGTCTTTGAACCCTCCTTGTTTTTCTTTTTTTTAATTGTAAACCTGCAAATGTTCAAAGCAAATTCAAAAAGTTTCAATAAAAGAAATCAAATTAAATCACTTGTGGCAATCAGGGGTAATATACTAGTGTGCAAGTTGTGTATACGCACAATCTGATGCTTAAAAATATTAAATCACGGCTTAATCACTGAGTGATTACCAAGCTTTTGCTGCTAGAAATTCTCTGTAGTTGGCTCCCAATCAGGGTAAAGCACCCTGCAGAGTCAAGTAGTGTTTTCATTAGCCTCGCCTCCTCGTTTTAGTCTAATATAAGTAGCACCACAAAAACCTGTATGTACATGAGAACTATTGAATGTTTTTATGCTTATTCTGACACCAGTACATATATATATTATCACATTTGCATTTGGAGGAAGTCAAAAGGCATCTCCAGAATTTATACAAACACAGTCCTTATTCAACATCTGAAGAAAAGAAAAGAAATTGTTGAGGTCTGTCCATCTTCTGAACACCATGAGCCACTTTGGAACAAATATTCATTTAATGAATCTTTCCATTTTAGGGTGAATAAACATGTTTATTTGATGAAAATAAAGCTTCTTGCTCAGGAAACACAAACACAAGTTTTTTTTTAAAATCTCAGACAACAACAAAGTTAAATCTGTGGCTCTCCTTCAAAAACACATTTCTGTACCCATTTAAATTACACAAACATATCTTTTTACATTCAATCCATTTGTTTTTTATCTGTATGCAAAGCATCAAGTGGCATAAAGGTGTCAGTAGCTTTGGAACAGACCTCACAGAGAAAAACAAACAAAACAAAGGCGTTACCACAACTTTCAGACATTAAATGTAACTCAGATAGTGCTTTATATTGTTTATAAAACATAAATACACATTGACAGAGGCAGTGACATCGTGCTCGTGTTCATGGTCCTTAAATTCCTTATAGGCTTTGTCATTTTTTAAATCTCCTTTATAAAAATAATTATTTTTAAATATTTATTAAACTTTTACCATGTTCTTCATTGACAAAAATATCCTGTTTAATCTGCAGACATTCAAACGCAACAATCATGGCACATACACGTATATACCTGTTCAGACGTATATGTGTGTACATGTGTGTTCTTTTTAAGTGCACAGCATGTCGCAAAATTTGGCCAAATAAAGTACAATAAAATAACACAAAAGTGTTAATGACAATAGCAACAGGAAATCTGCCGATTCAACTGACGGAAACAAGAAACAAAAAAAGGAAGAAATGGTAACAATAAAAGTAAGGAGCAGAGGTCAATGCTGAACAGTGAGTCACAAAAACAAACATAAACATTAAAATATATAACAGTTTTCACTCAAACAATACAGAGAAAACAAATTTTACAACTTCACAGGCGAAGAAAGGGACGCTCACTCCACGACATCAGCCCACATGTTCTCTCCGGTGTTTTAATTTTTTTTTCTTGGTCTTGCTCTCGTCCTCGATCGCCACATCAACCTCAATCAAGAAAGAAATAAACGGGCCGGGTGCCTCAGAGTGGCCTCACTCACAAATAAACGCACTCCCCCGCTCCAGGCCTCGTCTTGGGGAGGCACAGAGACCACCGAGCCCAACGTTTAGAGGTTGTCTGAAATGCTTTTAAAGTAGAAAAAGTCCTTCCTCTGAAGGAAGGTTCACATCTGATCAACTCTGACCCGAAACTCTCAGCTGGTGTGTGTCGCAACACGACGTCCGTCTCTTCAGTTCAGAGATGAGTGAGCGCGCTTTTCTGAGGTCACCATTCTAACGTGGATGGCACGAGCAAAGGTAATTTTATTTTGTTGTGTTTGTTGTTTTCGCTTCGTGTTTAATGATATTTGCCGCCCCCCCCCCCTCCCCCCAAAGATAAACAGCCAGGACTGTCTTGATCTGCATCCTCGTTGCCTGCATCTCAGGTTCTTTCAACTTACGCTCTCTCCAGCTTCATGATAGACTCATCTGATCTCCACTGTGTGAACGATATAAAAAATGGCTCAGCTGAAGATGAAGGCATCCATCTTTATGCATCTCTGTGCGTGTGTGTGTGTGTAGCTGCTGTTCACGTTAAGGATCTGAGCAAGTGTGCACCAAGGAGAGGTTCTTCTGTTTAGGTGGGTTGCGTCCACTCTCTTGAATGACATGGTCAAAGGGGGACATTTTGGCGACGGCTTTCACTCAAGGTCCCAAGGGCTGATGGGAGTCTTCGGGCTGTCAGTGGTTGAAGACTTCAAAGAGAGGGAGAAACAAAGAGACAGAAGAGGAGAAAACAGAGATGGGTAGAGATGGGTCGCATGGCAGGTAAGGCAGACGGCAGAAGAATTTGTTTGTTTCTTTCTTTTTTCAACGAGAGAAGAAAGCACAAGATTTAGAGAGGCTTTGATACTCAGATCTCCAGCGTGTCAAGTCCAAGCAGCAAATGAAGAAGCAGAGGGAAGCCGAGCAGATGAAGAGCAACTGGTGAGTGAGCTGTCTGTCTCCCACAAAAAAAAAAAAAGAAACGACCCCGAACAAATTGTCTTTCAGATCTGCACAAACACATTCAACAAGAGGGAAACAGGAAAAATATGGAAAAGAATGAAAGCAAGAGCGCTAGCAGCGGGAAGACCGACAGAGGGAACAAGGTAGGGGCACTGGTGCATGTCGGGGTGTGGCGTTACATGTTGCGGCTTACTCAACGAGAGTATTCAAATACAATAATTCATTGTGAATTAATCTGTTTGCTCAGAGCTCTTAAAATTGGTGACTTTAGCTGCTCGTTTTTTTGGTTTGCTCTGTTGCAAGTCTTCTGCTCAATCCAAAACAGGAATTTATTCCTTGTTTTTGGCTTAACGTTAAAGGTTTAGGTCTGATGTGCAACTTTGTTTTGATTATGGCTCTTAATTGGAATGCATTTCCCAAGGTGCAAACTTTAACCCTATCAGGTTCAAATGATTGGCTTTTAAAAATCTCAATCTGTGAGGCTCATTGGATGATGCGTGGCTCAGCCTCTACCTCCAGTGAGCGTTGTGTGTGTGCTTGGTCATATAGGCATGCATGTGTCTGTCGGTTAGTCAGAGCGCCAGCAGCGAAGGCGAGTTCAGGGAATCAGATGACTGCTCGCTACTGCTGTTCCGCTGGTTGGCACTGACCCCGCAGGCTCCCTCTGGGTAGGTGAACACAAATGAAGATGTGTATGAGGTGTTGTAACTGCCAATGGTCGCATCGTCATGGTTAACACCACCACCACTGTCACTGGCCATGAGGCATGGCCCACCAGTTGCTGGCTCACTTGAGCCATAGTAAGAACTAGAAAACTCTACCTCCTGCATCATCCCTGCTTGAGCCTGCTGCTGCTGCTGAGCTGGAGGCTGGGGCTGTGTGGAGGCTGGGTGGGCTGTGTAGGCAGGAGGGAGATAGAAAGAGTCTTCCTTCACAGTCAAGCCCACAATGGAGATAGGAGACGGTTGTAAGGTCTGGGGGGCAAGCTGGGACTGCACTGGAGGGAGCTGCACTGAGCCCTGCTGAGCCAGGTCCTGGTATGGGATCTTACAGGTGGGTTGGTGGGCCACCAGGACAAACTCCAGACGCTCCTTCTCCTTTTGCAGCTCAGAGATCTCGGCCTCCAGCTCTGCCTTCTCCTCCTCCAGTATGTCGGTCTCCTGTGAGCAGTTACAGACAAGAACAAACATGGGTGAGGGGAAAGATAAAGGGGTGAGATGCTAAAGTTTTTATTCTAAAGATCCCTGCAGGTAGCATAAGCTACAGAATTCATAGCTACAACAGTCCCAGAAACAATAATAGCCTTTCACCAACACCTGATTGCAATAATTTTCTTCCATATGCACAAATGTAAACCATTAACATACTTCTCGGTGCAAAGGGAGGAACCAGATACTATATAATTATAACAATCACTCATTCTGGCAGCTCAAAGAGGGCAGAACTCACCGACTGTAGTTTGTCTGTAAGTTCCCGTCTGCGGTTTCTGCACTTGGCAGCAGCTAGCTTGTTCCTCTCTCGACGAACGCGCCGCTTTTCCTCCTCTTCAGGTGTTAGCTACAAAGGAAGTAAATTGAATGAATAAAGTGAAGCTTCAGTCACTTTTAAATGTAATAATTTTATCCAATAAGTTTTGTCCTCTTCCCACCCCATTCATTACACTAAGGTTTGCAATCCCATATTTTCCTGTTTAGATGTGTAACTTAATATCTAACCCCCCTAAATGAGTGATGATTTAATTTGGTTTCCATGAAAACTGTTTACCTGCACTGCATGAGTAACATGCAAGAGTCAACAAACAAGCCACTCAAGTACACAAACTTACAAACAGACCAACATCGCCATCTTCACTCACAGACTCCTCTCGTGCACGACGACTGCGGGATCGGGACCGGGATTGGCGGATGGGGCCTGGACTTGGCCCCGGAGCGTCTGAACTCGGAGGAGTGAATCCAGACCCTGAAGAATAACTAGGACCTGGCATGTCAAACGGGTCCACCAGTGACACCGGCTGGGTCATGGTCGTGGTGCCTGTGGAACCACTTTGTCCAGAGGCCTGGGAGGAGATGAGGGTTGGTTGTACCATCCACTGCAGGTCCTGACTGGTGGTTATGGCAGTGACGGTGGGCACAAATGAACTGGGCATCTCAGCTCCACCACTGATCCCTGGCCCACTACCCACAATGCTCAAGCCAGCACCTGCTGACACACACTCCTGAAAAACAGAAAGAGTTAAATGTCACTGAACATAGAGCCATGATCACAGAGCAATAACTTGCACTAGTGAGTTGTTTTGTTAAAAAAACGTGTAAGAATTCAACACAAAAGATAAAAAATAAATAAAAATACTTTGAATGAAATGGTAAAACTGAATGAAGCCTCAATTCTGAGAAACCAATAAACATGTGAGGTGAGATTATTTGAATATAAAATTTGATTCAGAACTGTAAATTTCACACATTTATTTACATAACTTCTCTCGGAGAAACAAGGCTGATTCTGTATGTGGTAACATGGAATTTCCTGCCCAAACCAAACTCTGTCACATTTAGAATAAAATGGAAACAGCTTAGATCTGTGTGGTAAATGATGAAATCCTTTCCTCCATTTGCATAATGTCATTGGAGTTTTTCTTTTGATTTGCTTTTGTGTTGTTTTCGTGTTATCTATTATAAATGTGTGTATTTTACCTGATTGAAGTGGGTGTTGCAAGTTAGATGAGGCTCATGTGCTATTATTTATTGCACTTAATATACTAATCCCTACAAATAAGCAATTAAACAGGAAAACAGTTGTCTTTTAAGCATAGATTGTTTTCTAAATAGACTTACATGAGTCAGTGAACTAATGAGTTTGAGATAACCTAAAAACATTTGAATAAATGTGCTTAAATGTTCTTATAAGAGGAAAATTCGTGGATTTAAACGATTTCTTTTTAATCTGATGCTGCATGACCAAGTTATGTGCATATTGATAAACTGATCTAAAAATGCCCATGTTGGTTTATTTTAAACCCATGAAGGAGCACCGACTCTTATCAATATTCGTATAAAAGCGTGAGAAGACAACAGGAAAGGTCGCTCGAAACAATCAGACACGACCAATCGTTTTTCTCGCACAGCGTCTCCCCCTTCCTCCTCCTCCGTTACGCCCCCGGTGCTCCCCTTGGCAACGCGACGTAGCACTCCAAAATAGAACACGCATTTACGTCACGGTGAAGCCTGAAGAAAGGAGAGCGGAGCGTTTGATAGAAGAGAAGCGGTAAGAGCGGAGGGGCGGGGCTTAGACGCTTACGAAGGGAGTTCCAGCGCTCCGTCCTCCGCTCTGCGGCATGCCGTAGAGCGGAGCACGCTGACAGAGCGCTGCGGCGGCCGCTACAAGCTGGGAAAAGTATTCAGGATCATCTGAAGCGTTTCTTATCTGCTCACAGAAACAGCAGAAAGTTCAACACTTAAATAGCTCAGATTATAATAAAATGACACAAAACGAGCGCGGCTGTATCTTTATTACGTGTTTGTTTTGTGTTTACCTCACATTTTACATCTGGCAGTGTAAACGTATACACCTTTTAATACTCTCTTAATTGTTACTGATTTAAAATCTAGCAAAAATAACAAGCCTTATATTTTATCAACGCTCTATACTTGATGCACGAGCTATTTTTAAGCATTTGTATTTATTAGATCATGACGAGTTTATCTCAAGCATCCTTATGTTTTACCTGCGGAGCACTGGTGGTGGGCGGGCTCCCGAAGGAGTCCACGGAGGATAGGTATTGGGACTCAATGGATGGAGACGAGCTTCCACGGGACCCGCTGTCGAGGTCGCCGGGGAACCCTTGGTACATCTCCCCGGGGGGACCGAAAGAGAACGCGACACCTGCAGGAACCAAAGAGCGCCCAGTGTCACCTGCAGCGGCAGGACAGCGGCACACAAGAATGTTACAAAGAAGGGACTGTAGAGAGAAGATGACTGATGTTATAAAACACAAACCATTAAAGCGGATTTTATTTGTTAGAGTATAATGATTGTTTCTAATTTATTTAGATGGCTTTAAAATGCAGGGCGAGTGTGTTTAGATCCATGTAAAGTTAGGTGAACGTGTGCAGCAGCAGACATGTGTCAGATCGTTTATTTGCGTTTTTTCTCCATATTTTATATAATTTATCGGATAAAACAAGTTGAATCCATGAGCATTTCTTTACCGTGTATCTTCTTGTTGAGCCCCGGTGAGATGGTCTTGGTCTCTTTCCAAAAAAGTTGCATGAATGAACTTAATCCAGTCCAGCGCTTTCAGCGAGAAAGCGCTCCAGATGAAGAACTCCTCTGCTTTAATGTTTTGCGGTAAATCCTCGTGTTTTCTTCTCCAATCCACTCGCGACAAAAACGTGCGATTATAGATCCATAAAGTCCGATAAAGGAACGCCGGAGGACGTTTACCGGTATTACGGTGCACCGTAGTAGATCTTGTCTTATGAATGAAGCATCCGCCTCGAGTACAACAAGCCATTTCTAGCGTCGAAGTCCCGCCTCGAAGTTCCGCTGACGTACATGCCCATATTTGTCTAGATGTTGTGTTTGGTATCCTTGGTGACGTTGAGGGATTCCCTCTCCCACTGAACGGACCAGAAGCGTGTATACCGACAGATAATAATAGACTTCTTTTTAAATACAATATCACAGGCACAAGATAGACTATTTCTCACCGTCTGACAATGCCGGAGAGGAAATTTTAATAGCACTGGTGTGAAAAATATGGAAAGTCTATTTTGGACCACAGATAGGAATATTTTTAGATCATCATAATGTTCCATTAATATGCTTCTGTTTATGTCGAGAAAACACAACGTTTCATAAACCAACAAATAAGAACTTTTTTCTAGTTTAATGTTTTTATTATCAGTCATCTATACTCTGATGAGTTTAACCTTTTCAGTTAAAACAGATATCACACAATCTACAATACAATTAAAAATATTTAAAACAAAAATCCCCTAAGGTGTTATGATTGTTTAATGATAGGGCTGCCCCGGGACGGAATCCCGTCAGCATGAAGGGAAATCCTGCTGAAAAGTTTTGCAGGGAACGCCCTCAGGACTGACCAGACATGTCCTCTGCATGAACACTCCCCAAATCCAAAGCAGGTTTCACAAAAACAGATTAGGTACACATTGAGTAACGTGGCAAGTGAGAGGTGTCATTTAGTGGTGGCACAGCTGCACACTAATAAATGATAAAATACTCAGAACATCAACTCTCGTCCATTCTTCCCACGTGCCTTCTGAGCAGCAGCGAGTAGATACAGTGGGCAGCAGTGACGGAAATGGCTGCATGTCATTCCAAACATCGAACATAAAGTGATTCATTAAAATCCTACATGCGGACACCAGAGGGGAATGTGGCAGGTGGGAGGCTGGCTTTGTCCGGGGGGACTTGCTCCGCTCTACAAGCTAAGTGCGGGAAAACTGGGCGGCAAAATCATGAATGAAAAATCTACAAATCGGCAATTTTTTTCCCTTTTGGCTGTGTGATGTCAGTGTCGCGCGGGGCGGGCATGCGGCTGTAAAAGGACTACAGCTGATGTGCGAACAGGCGTAAGCGAAAAGGGAAGAGAGCTGGGTATAACAAGTTATTAGTCAGAGCTGCAACAACGTCAGAGACGAGGATTCACGGAAGAACGTTGTGTCCCGGATTGCCGTTAACGGTGCCGTGCCGCTGAACCGGGATGACTAACTCCGTCGATGTAAGTTGTTCGTGATGAGGAATTAGAAAAGTGAATGGTTGATAACGCATGCCGACAGCCCACGTTGACATTCAGGGCGAAATAACGATAGGCTAAACGACAAGACGAGGAGACGAAAATTAAACAACTTTAACGACTATTTTTTGTCACAAAATGTATAAATAATTGTGTTAAACTATATATTTTACAATTAAAAAATAAGATAATGTTCCACTATTTTGCTGCTCGTTATATAAAAATAGCGTTGCTATATTTAAAGCAGAAAGTGTGCTGTAGGGACCATGTGCTGTGCACCGGTTTTTCGGCATGTGTATAGCGTTTCATCACCATGGATACGTCGTCGCCTCTGACGCAAGGACGTATAAATTTGGTCTTTTTTGTTATGTCGCTTAGCAACCGGTTTCCATGGTAACGCGCTCTGAGCTGAAGCACACAATGGCTTCCGGATTCTTTCTGAGCGGAGAACAGAAGTAGAAAAGAGCTCGGTTTGCATCGATTGTTTGCAGCTTTAGCGCAATTTGAACTGCTAGCTGCGGTTCAGTGTGTGTTCTAAAGTCAGGAAAAGTTTTAGTTTAAGTAGTTTTGTGTTTTTCTTCTTCCGCTGCTGCCGTAAACTTCTAACATGAACGCTTTGAGCGACCGGACTAGTTTGTGAGCGTGTTTTGTTAGTGTGTGCTGGAAACATGTAAGTAAGGAGTAAGCCTGACTAAAGTGACCACATCTTCATATAATTTAATGGATTTTGTTTCTGATAAAACTTTGTATAATTAGCACTATTCATCTTACCTATTATTTTACCAAAGTACAGTTTTTTCAGTGAAACTTTATTCAACTTAAACAAAAGCAAAACAAATTCATTCGGATTTTAGACGGATCAAAATACAGTTTCACAACTCCTAAAGTGTATCACAATGTTTGGGCAGAGTTCATAAAGGCATAAAGCCTATTCAAAAAATTGCAAAATATAAAGAAAGAAAAGAAGGAAAACAATAGATCAGAGCAAAATAAGATGTTTAAGTTGTTTCCACTCTTCTCTCCATAAACTGCATGGCTTCATGTCCTTTATCGTGCCTACTTTGTGGAATAATGTGGCGCAAATGAGACTCCAATCCACACTCCAGACATCTTTGTTTACAGTTTGTTTGTTGACATCTCTTGGTGGTCTAGACTTTAAAAGAAGCAGTGTTATCTGATGCCCCTGGTGTGCTTTGTTTTGCTTTCCTCGGTTTCTTAGTGTATTTTCGGGAAGCCTCTAACTTGCACTGCTTGAACCAGCTCCTGTTTCCTCTTGGAAGGCGGGTCCATGTTTGCTGTTCTGGCCCAAAATATTTGTTACCAGGCAACAGCTAGGCCTGTCCCACTTGAGAGTGGTGTTGTTTACACCCCTTCTGGCTCCATGTTCCAACAACATTGCATAACTTTGCTTTTATCACCCTCACTGAGAATGAAATCTGATCAGTCTTTTCTTTCCAGCCAATCACAATCCTTCATACTTCCATGCTGTAGTGTTACTCCCAGCCACCGAGGCAGTTGCTGCCTGTGCATTTTCTCTTGTTTTTCCGACTCGGCACAATCAAAGTGAAACTGAGAGTGGATTTGTGAGAAAGCTGCACTCTTAGTTGCTTTTCAGTTCAGCCATCAAATACAAAAAAATCCCCTGAAGCTTGTTGTAATGTTGGAGGCTCCAGTCATTGTCTGCAAACATGCAATAATACATCAGTTCTTGTTTAAATCCAGTAATTCCTTCTTGGCATAGCTGAAGGCCTTCATTTATGCTGTGTAAACATGACTTGTGTGTACTGCATTAACTAAAATGCTAGAGGTAAAATGAAAGACACAATACCCTGCCTTTTAATAAAATTTCGCTTTAAACCATGAACATTTGAACGTGATACATTTCTTTCTGCTAACCATCTGCTTTGTTTTAAAAACACCGTTGTCATTATAGTTTGTGGCTGTCATCCAGTTAACCCTCTGGAGGCAGGCGTTGCAGATTTGCAACAGTTAAAACCTACCTGGTTACTCCACATACGTATTTCATGAGCATTTTTTTACTCAGAAGTACCCCTGAAGGACTCAGTTGTTCGTCCTTTTATCTAAACTTATTTTGAGCCTGAGAGGGTTAAACACCATTGGCAGAATGTTTGCAAGAAGCACATCTTACCTGTTTGTTAAACTTCACTGTTATTAGAAAACCGGTTATGCAAGATCATAAAGTCAACACAAACGGCCTTAACGACAGTTATACTACCTTCTTTGGATCCATTATCATTTTTGTCTCTATTTCAGTTACGTCATCTTGACCCTCAGCTGGGGGTTTCGTAACCCATAAGGAGGTGCAACATCTGGCAACTGCTGCATGAGTTTTCATATTAAAGGCATACTATGAAACTTTTTCCTATTTTTAAATAATTTTCGTGAGCTAGTATGTGCTAAAATGACCCTTTAGGGTTGATGAAATGTCACTCAGACCCCCACCGCTCCCTGTAGCCAGAACAATGCACTTGCAACTTCAGAATGTCGGTCCGGTCCCTGTTGGGCTTAGTAAAGTGGAGCTGACATGCCAGGCGCTGCAGTCTACTTCCAGCATGTTTCCTTCATGTTTTGGATCATGAACTCAGCTGATTTGTTTGATTTAATGATGAATCACTCCTGTAGAAACTAATCAATCAATCAATCAATCAATCAATCAATCAATCAATCAATCAATCAATCAATCAAAGCTTTATTTATAAAATACATTATATGAATTATTATTATAATGAAGGCTGGGGAGACATTTCAGCGGTTAGATTAAGGTGTTAAAAAGACGAACGCACAGCAAGGAGATACGATTCACTTTTGGTTTCACTAACAGACATTAGGAGGTGCTAAAAGCAAGCCAAAACTGCATAGTTTCCATTTAAATGGTTAGTCTTCTTCTTTTCCAGACCTTAGAATATGCTATAAGAGCTTTCTTTTATCTAACAATGCATGTTTATGCAGCATTTAAGGAAAATTTAACAGAGTTAAGAGGATAAGAAGATCTTGGGCTAAGAATATAATTATACCCACTACAAATCTGTTCTACCGAGGGAAAACATGTCACAAGATCTTATTTCTCTGCTACAGCAACAAAAAATTCTCCTGCAATTTTCCAGTTTGTTTTGCCCCATTCTTCAGCCCACATCTTCATTTTGTCTCACGTTTGTCTTGTTTATACGTTTGTACCTGTGTTTATACAGCGTAATCCCTGCAACCAGTTCTCGTGTTCAGTAACAATGTCGTGTGCTTACACAAAACCACTCTGCAGTGAGCACACATGCACAGCCATAATTTAGACTGATGTATTGAGAATGTTAATGGGTCTGCAAGGTCTCAGTTGCAGATTTTTATTAGACAGAAATTTACTTGTCATTATTTAACAAAACATATTAGTATATGCAACATATTAGTTGGTAAGTCTATGGTTAAATGTGGAGGGCCTGACCTTTCATGATGAAGCAATCCCTACAAGGATTACTGGGAGTTTTGTGCAAGTTACTGTAAAAAAATCCAAACTAACATTGTGTTCAACTGTTTCTTTTTCTGTAAACTGTAAATATCTATGAATAAATACTTCTGCAACTGTTCCCAGCGTTAGACTGGTTGAAGTTCTTTTTTTGATTTGCTGCTCTAACTGCAGGCACAAACGTCAGCTCTGAGGTGCAAAAACAAGAGTGGATGGATGTATTGTATCATGCGCTGCACGGGTGTCGGATGCCTAAAGTTAAAT